CAAGCTTCCTCCTGAACTCAACGTGGGCTCACTCCCACAAATTACAGTCCAAATTAAAGTATCTGAACCAAGAACACATGTAAACCCATAAATTCTCCTGGCCCAGGCTCTCAAAGAGAAGACAATCTAAACAGAAGATGCTAATTGTAGCAAAAAGTGCAAACTCATAACAGTCTGTACCCACATATAGACATGGCCAGCTAATGATATACTCCAAATTCAGAACATTTGTGTGCCCTAGCAAACAGTGTTCTTATTAACACCAATTGTTCTGTAATGCCAACAAATTACAGTAAATTCCAATAACTTCCAATAAATCGAAATAATTCAAATAAATTCCGACAAGGATTTGATATACAAGGATTAGATAAGGCATACACAAGGACATGACATAAGGGCCTCTTTGTCCCCTCTTGACACAAGATTACACAAGGAGCACAAGGATTACACAATTCATCTTCCGGTAATTTCTTTCTCCCCTCTATTGCATTTAGTATTGACAGCTCTCACTTCACATTAAGCAAATCAATTGGCTGCAGCCTGCAGGTATATGTATATGTGCTCTAACTGAACTTGAATGATTCACATAACTGAATTTATATGTACTCCACTTAATACCCAAGCTTTCATTAAGTAGTTTATGTTTGCTTATTTTGTTTTTCTCTCTGCAGGAAATACTTTGGCATGGTACAGTTTGACCAGCCACAGGACTAGATCAGTTAACCTACTCCCTTTAGTCTGCATCAAGGTACAAATCTTTTAACTGAATTTTAAGAGTCTGGTGATATTTTCACTGAATTTTGGCCTCAAGTACAGTTACAAAATCTGACCATTTATGTTGCAAACAGAAGTTGCTTACAAATTTGACCATTTAAGTTACAAACAGAAACTCAGAGTTTGGAGTACTGTTACAAATCTGACCATTTAAGTTGCAAACAGAAACTCAGAGTTTGGAGTACTGTTACAAATCTGACCATTTAAGTACAGTTTGGAGTACTGTTGCAAATCTGAATTTTGGCCTTAAGTACAGTTACAAATCTGACCATTTAAGTACAGTTTGGACTATTGTTTTCTGGAGTGAACTGAACTGCCTTTGGAAACAAAAGGCATCAGAAACACAGAGAAACAAAGCCATTTTACAGAAGTTGCTTTCATAAGTTGCAAACAGTACTTCAAACTGGCAGTACCAAACCGAATTCTGTACTCCAAACTTTCATAATTTGTGGAGTACTCCAAACTGGAGTAATTCCAGCAGTACCAAACAGTAATCCAAATTTGCATATATTTAGTGACTGCATATGTTCAGTGACTTAACAGTTTGACAGTTAGCAAAGTACAGTGACTGCGTATGTTCAAAATTGGATGATCTGCTCTAATTCCACAATGCTAGCAATAATTGATCTAGACAAACATTCAATTTCACCAGATGACTGTCAATTTCACCATATGACTATTAATTTCACTATACTTGATCTGCTTCAGTACCTATCCCAGCAGCAGCAGCAGCAGCAGAGGTGGGGGCTCTGGAGGAAGCCAAGGTCGGCGCTCAGGCAGACAGCAGCAGAGGCGGAGGTTCAATGCTGCATTGGGTTCAGGCTCAATGCTGCATTGCTGAAAATTGACAGTAAGTTTTAACAGTTTGGAGTACAGATTAACTAAAACCTGACATTTTAACTGAATTTTACCTTCTTCTTCTTCCTTCCTGAGGAACACGAGCTCTGGCGGCAGCACAAGGAGCAGGACAGAGGAGCACAGGGGAGCTGCTACTGGAGCTCTGCTGCTGCTGATCAACACAAGCACGACAAGCGAGCAGTGGATCAATTTCACTCTGTATCAGCTGCAGGATCAGAGTGGACTACCAGAGGCAACGACGGAGGCCTTAGGGGTCGGGGTCGGGAATCGGAGGGCGGCGGCGTCGCCCACCAGCAGCGGCGGCGGCATAAGAGGCGTCGCCCGCCACCATCACCTAAACCAGCCGGCTGGCCGAAGCGAACCAGCGTGGCGGCAAAAGCGGACCAGCACGGCGACCAGCGCGACGTCGGTGAGCGGCGGAATAGTGGCGGAGTGGATCAGCGCGGCGACGGTGGGTGGCAGAGGACCCGCTCGTCGGTGGGCGGCGGAGGTCCTCCTCATGGGCAGCGGAAGTCCTGTTCGTGGGCGGGCTCGGCGGCGGCTCATGACCTTCTCCTGGAGACGGCTGGCCGTGGCGACGCGGGTGACGGGGGGAGGAGGAAGGAGACGGGGGCTTAATTTCCAGAGTTTTGAAAGTGGAAGGACTAAAATGCAAAAAACAAAACAAATGTACTACGCCCGCGACAAGAGGGAGTACTACTTAACACCCTTGGTGCGTGTCTGCTTGAGCTATCAACAACATTGCAGAGCTAAAACGTAAATACATGTAGACAAAGAGTTTCATTACTGGACTGAGAAATTGTGTTGACAACCTGTGATCACTTGTTCACGCTACAAACTAAAGGGTAAATAGAAAGAACAGGGTGGCTTGTCAGCCTTCATGGCAGTGGTTCGGATTAGAGAAAAATGCCATAAATATGTTGTATCTAATATAAGTCACTCTATAAAGTACATGAGCCACAATGGATTGGCAAGAGCTGCAAAAGCCAAATAATACGGGGGCCATGGCTATCTATAAGATCTTCTATTGCAGATATTTCAGCAAAAGATGAAACACATGCATTCAACATCAAGAAGAAACATTAACAAATGGACTTGACTAAAAGGCAAAACCGATGAACTTGCAGCCCTAACCCACAAGAGACTATAATTACCAGTGCCGGAGCCGCATGCCTCACTGTGTGCAGCCCGAGAACACATCTAATCAGAAATCAGTAGATAAAGCTCAGTTTTGCACGGCACTATTCTCTTAAGAACTACACCTCAGTTTCTCACTGTCCTTTTAATGCCAATAAACTAATGTGCATACTGCAAAAGTGCAAAGAACATTGGTATGAAACTGGCTAGCCTAGAGTAGTAACTGAAAATCATTGGCTAGCACTCATACCAAGTTTTGAGGTATTTTGACATTTAGTGAGAAATTGTTACTAAACCGGTTTAGGAGCAAGTAGTCTGTCCTGATTCATATACACAGAAACTGATTTAGCCAATGTTACTAGACGGGTTTAGGAGCAAGTAGTCTGCCCGTGATTCGTATACACAGAAACTGATCTACTACCTCCGTCCTAGTTTATTGGTCTCCATTGTATTTTGTGCCAAATTTTAACCATAAATTTAATTAACAAAATGTTCATACATGTCACCAAAAATTATGTCATTGAAAACTAGGTTCAAATACAAACCCAATGATATAATTTTTGTTGGCATGCATTCACATTTTGTTAGTTAAACATTTGGTCAAAATTTGGCACAAATTACAAAGGGAACCAATAAACCAGGACAGAGGTAGTAGCACACAGTAACATTTATTACTTGCTGCCGCAGAACCATATGTCCAAAGAGGCATACTGCACAAAAACAATGTAGAGCTCAAACAGTCTCCCCAACTTAATATTATATCTCCGGAAGGGGAATAATAATAATCTGAATTGACATTTTGCATACATGCCAATTTGGCTTTCCTCCAGATAATTTCTAGACCAAAGGCCAGAGGGCCCTGACTTACAGAAATCAATCTCAATAAGGAACCGGGTAGCGGCCTGGGGACTCCATCTTACATGTTCCTCCATATAATCATCAACTGGAAATATATCTAGGGGGGAGATGAGACGGTTAAGCAAAACATAGGGACCGAAGCTCTACTTTAATTAGGAAGAGCCTGCTTCTGTTCTTCCTTTGAGAGTGACTTTGATCAGCAACATTTCCGCTTCTGGAGTCAATTGACATAATCATTGGAGATCGATACAAAGGAAGCATCTGGACAAATAGTTAAAGGAAAAGACCTTGTCGTAAACAGATCAATAAAAAATAATAGACAGCATAACAAAAGATGAAAGTTTATGTACATACATACATAAATAAATAAATAACGCAAAGAAAGGTTCAATCCATGAGAAAATAGAAGACTGAATCTTCTTTGTGAAAATATTAGTGCACTGGATCATTTAGATTATCAGACATATGAGACTTAAAATCCAGAATATGTAGTTATGATCAGAAATATGTCAGGATCAAGAGTTCTAGAAATGATAAAGCTAACATAAGCTAAGAAGCTATGACAATTATATAAGTTAACACTGATGAGTTCTTGGAGTACTCAGAAACTTGAGCATTAGCTTCGCTATGGGCAGAAATAACAGGTTATTTATTCATTTTTCCTCAACTTGCACCTTTCTAGTTCTTCTCTACTGTCACTTGCTTAGTTACTAATTCACCTCTGCTTCATCTACTCCCTCAAGGACAAATGCTAACTTCTTTGCCTTACAGCTTGTGCCTTCTTCTCTGATAACTTCTTTGCCTTACAGCTTGTGCTTTCTTCTCTGCTATATCCAAACAAAACAGGGCGGCACGGTGACGGCGCCGGCACCCAGGGGCGAGGTACATAATGGCAAGCCTGAGCTACTCCGAGATCAGCTCAATGCTTGGCACCGCCGCGCTCGCATTAGCAGATACACATTAGCAGCGTCGGAGGAGGGAGGGAAGGACATGTGAGACTGTTACAACTTTTAGAACCAGGGAATCCACCAGCCCAGGTTCTTGTGGGAGACCGCCTCAGCAATCAGCCGCTAGGCCTGGCCCTGGACGGAGGCCACTCCCTGGAGCCTCGCCGTGATGTTCGCGATGGCCCTCTGCAAGAATTCGAAAACGGTTTGTTTTTAGCACAAGAGAGACACAGTTTGCTTAGCGGTGGTCAAATATGCATGTAGTACATGCAGTGGCTTCAGCGTAATGTACGATGTTGGCCATCCCTGTGCTGTGCCTGTGGATTGCGGACCTAGCTCCCCTCCGCTGGACTTGCTGGTCTTGGTCCACTCCACCAGCGGGTCATCAGAGCCTCCTTGCCGCCCCTCAACACCGACAGCACACCTTCAGAAACACGACACCCTCCCAGCGATGCCCAAACCGTCCATCATGTTCTGCACATCCGGAACAATTCAGCAACACACACGTTATTAATACTCAGAACAGGGATCAGATAAACTCTGTCTGTCGGATAAGCTGCATGCTGGGCATCCACTCTACCAGTCCGCAGTCTTCTGTGAGTGGAACCACCGCCAAGGTTCTGATGTAGAGCTTTCTCCTGCGGCGGCTCTCAGGAACTTTGGAGAGGAGACGGTTGATCACGGCGTTGAACTCCATCACGCGTGCATCCTTCTCCTTCCTGAGACCATCCTTCGGTTTGCATAAAAAGGGGCGGGCAACTCCACCGCTTCCGAGGAACACGACCTGACATTGAAAATGATCATGCATGTCAGTTACCATTAACCTAGTGAAGTATGACTAGCCAGTTTTGACTCTTAAATGTGAAAAAAAATCATCAACGGACAAAACTCTAGTTAAATGAGTGCAAAGAATTGATCTGGAGCCTTGACAATCCCTTGAATCGTATGATGGCAGAGTCACAGTTAGAGACTGCTGGACAGGTAAGATAATTCCTAGTGGCATCATTCTTTTCAAGGAGCTGAACTCAGTTGAGATATTTATTGCCTTTGCCTTGGGCTGCCCTGGATGAAAGCACAGCTTAATCAGATGTTCTATTAGAGAAGGAAACTGATTAAACAGTGCCACATTGCCCCCCTTCCGACAGCCCTTCTTTGCTGAGTTTAATATCTGTGTTGCGGCATCTTTTCTTGCAGAAACTGTTGACTTTGACACTGCAGCCATCATCCAAAGTGCTTGCTGAGGGCACGCCTGTAACACAGACGTGATAATTTGTCTGGCAGTTTTGACAACCTCACCATTCTGATGACAAATGCGGGATATCAACTGAGACAGCACAGTCAGCCACTGATAAGTTGGTAGATCCCTCGTGGACCCGTGAATGATGCTCAACATCTGCAAATGAGATGGGATGATCAGATGATTCAGATCTCTACATGGGTCGAAATAATGGGAAGAAAATACATGTGAAACAAAATTCCGTATATTCCAGAGGTGCTTTGCCTTCTCCATATGAACGTTAGGAGCACCCGAAGCATCTGCTTCCAGTATTGCACGGTGAGCTGCCTCATAATGACCAGCCAAACGGCAGAGTTTAGCGTACTGAAGCCAGCAATTCCCAACTTGAGAATTCATATGACTCAGATTATAAAACATCCGTTGGAAAGCAAGCAAAGGCTCCCTTGCCGACAGAGACGATTGTGTACATCTCAGACGGTTATCCCAGTCTGTTGTTAATTTCAGAAATTTTGGATCATCTACACTGAATGTTTTATCGAGAAATGACTCGTCTCCCCGCAGGGAGTTGAAGTCTTCCAACTCGCACAGCATGTGAAGCTTTACAATGTAGGGATATGCACACATGTACGAGTCCATGCCTGCTGCAGCCAACGGAACAAGCATTGCTTGCTTGGACTGGGCAATCTTTTCAGCAACCATAAACTGATCTGTGTTCATCATTGCCTTGAATATCTTAGCAAGACCTATGTCAAACGAAGCACTGTTCTCAGAACTGCTGCACACAAGACTTTTGTCTGCCTCGGGTAGGTACTCATCCATGAGATCCCATCTGCCTAATCTCCAAGCTGCTTGCACTCCTTGCATGCACCAAGTTTTCTTATCCTGGGGTATTCTGCACACCAAACCATCCGCATGTGCAATCATGGCTTGAAGGTGGCACATGTTTAGTGAACAGTTGAGAACATCACAATGTCTGTGGACAGTATGAGGTTCCATTTAGTGTTAGCACTTGAGCCCACTTCCCAGTTTCCTCATTGATGATAAGTTGATTTTGTAGGCTTGATGATTTCTCAGATTTGCTAAAACCTAATAGACCATCGGGCTCATCAAAATCCTCTGTATATTTCCATGAGAAAAGAGATATCATCATCTGAAAAAGTGCCACTACACTCTGCAGCTGGATTAGAGGTCCCAGACTTGTCTCGGAGATGAGATTCGAATTATACTAGAGCACGAGCATGAGCTTGACATCTAAAAGTGGTCTTAGCTAGAGTAACTTAAGGTATAGCAGCCAACAGCTCAGCAACATTGCTACACTGCACCCACAACTGATCTTGGCCGTAAATAGAACAACTTTCATCTTTCAGTTAACCTGCAAGCTTCCCAGGCATGTCATGACTAGACTGGGATAGAGCAATTTCCTGTTTGAGGTTACCAACCCACTGCCCAAGATTATCAAGTAAATTGAAGATCGCCTGAACGCAAACATCACTCTGTCCCCCAGTAGTAGTACCATGGACAATAGCCCCACTGAAGCAGCTGCACTGAGAAGTGACAAAATTCCGTCGGTGATACTTTGCTGAGCCTTTGGGGTCCCATAGCAAACAACATTTAAAACCAAGTACGGTAGGAGATAGAGCGTCATGCCAAACAATTCATGGGCATGCACTGTAAATACATAAAGGCGATCCAGTTGTGCACGATATCAACTTTCTAATCCAATAATATATCCATCTTCCAAATGCTCTAGCTCTGCCCCTGCTCGCCTCAGCCAATTGCTTTAACAAAAAGTGCAACACATCAAGACCATCCATTTGAAGAGCTTCCTTATCAGTGGCAAAAATCAACAGAACCATATATAATCTGGACTAGTAAATAAGAGGAGTCCCATCATCTCAACTATACATACGCTGGATCTTGATCTTGTTTTTGAAGCTTCATGTCATCATCAGAATGAAGCATATATATTCTTGTCAATGCTAGATATTGAGAAGTCTGACAAAATCATTCTCCAACTTGGGAAGGGCCTGTCAAAACTAAACTCTTTCTAGGAATGTTGTGCTGTTGGCGGAAGAAATACTTGTTGTCCTGAAAATCAGAGCTCCATTACAAGTCGTTCAGAATCATGCCTGCCTAATTGCGGAAGGAAGCATGCGGAGAGCTGATGAAAGCATAAATAATCACCTTGTAGTATGTGTCCCCGATGCCATCAGATGCACCTGCAAATATCTCTTTGCTATCAGTTGCTGTTTTAGTGTGATAAAACTGTAGAACAGATAGCAAACGATGCCCATCTTGATAACATAAAATAGAGCGAACGAGAGAGAGAGAGAGAGAGAGAGAGAGAGAGAGAGAGAGAGCACTTTAGGTAATGATGAATCCAATCCATGGTACTACTAGTTGAGCGTTTAGACGGTCCTTCCCAGTCCTGACCGGGGAGGGAGCAAGGCAGCGTCTTGGACCTTGGAGCGCAGGGCAGGACGAACTGGTGTGGTGGGGGTGGGGCACCCAGTCCAGGAAGGAAGCGAGATCGTGGTCGGGTCCACGCAGCCAGTCAATCCGTCCCGGAAGCGAGATCGACTGAACCGCCTCCTCCGTGGGCGTGGGGACACGGTCGACCAAGGTTGCCGGTATATATCCCAACCAGGTCGACGAGAGTCCATGGCATGACGCTGCACTTGAACCCCGGAGCGCTGAGCATCCTCGTGCGCCAAGTCGATCGAAGAGGGAGATGCCAAAGCGGCGGGCGGGCGATCAAGTCCGATGCCGCGCGACAAGGACGGCCGGCCGGCCGGCCGCGATCGTGAGCCAGCGCGTCCTCTGCTTGCTTCAGTAATGGCCGGCGAGGCAGAAAGCGACGGGGCAGTGGCCTGAGCAGGAGCGACGGTGACGCTGGGGAGGAGCGACGCCGGCCGGCCATCGGGGCACGGGAGAGAGCGTACAAGACCGACCGACCGACCGACCGGCCGCCGGACCAACGTTTTTGGTTGGGCAAGGCGGCTGTCCGGCCCAAGAAAGCGTCAACACAGGTACGCACGCGGAGCAGGTCAAGTTGGACGGGCGGCGGCACCTTGGCCTGGAGGCCTGAGGCACCGCATCAACTGAATTCTCCATCCAGCTGAAACGAAAAACACCCAAGCAAAAAAAAAAAGGCACAGAAAAGCGACGTCACTTGTCTGCTTCCTCGGAGTTTCCCATCCCAACACAAGAGGGCGACACCGTGTTTTTCAAGTTTCACAATATAAGTAAGAAAAAGAAGAAGAAGAAGGCCCAATATCGATGGCAGCAGAGCTCATGGAGTTTCTCAACTTCATCATGACGACTGACTAGGTGAAACAGAGAAACAAAAAAATGCATGCTTGATACTGTCCTTGTTAAGACAGACAGACAGACAGACAGACAGTGCAAATGCACCCAAGAAGAGATATGGCTAGTTGAGCAACCTCGTCAGAAGCAGCAGCTGCTGACAAAGCATCTTATATCTGCTTCATGTCTTCAGTCTGTTGGTATATCTCATCCATAGGCTTCCTAATCGACAAGGAAAATCTTCATACCTCAACTCCAGGAAATATTAGCCACTGAGGGCAAGTCTAGACTACTCGCGTCACTAAGTTCATACCTCAACAGTCTCTGCTGCTGCAGCTTCTAACTAGCTCATCTCATCGACATTATAAACATATATATACACATGGCATGCAACACAAAATATGTGCATCCAGACCAAGGAGGTAAACCTTTCCTCTTCCATGATTGGATAGCAGATGATGAAAACTACTGTTAGACACACAATTGGTACACTTCTGTATCACTCACTACATTAGATCAAGGCAATATAACATTCTAAGCTAATATCTGCTCAACTGATAAAATAAACATGGGACAGAGCTAAAGCGAGAAGCTTGTATTTAGCTAACCATCAGGTTTTCAAGTGATGCTAAACATGGGACAGAGCTAAAGTGAGAAGCTTTTATTTAGCTAACCATCCATCAGGTTTTCAACTGATGCTAAAGCTTGCTTCAAATAAAACATTGATCTTCAAGTGCCAAAATGCTAAAGCTTGCTTCGAATTAAACATTATGCAAAGTATTCAATCTCACATGTATGCATCACACAGAGATAAAGAGAAATGCAAGATGTTGTTAACAGTGATAACATCAGCCAATATGCTAGAATTCAAACTAATTGCTCATCTCACATGTAGGCAAGTCTGCTGCGATGAATAGCCAGAATCATACAGGCTGCTTCGAACAAAACAGTATGCAAACATTGCTGATCTCACCTGCAGGCACATCTGCTGGGATAAATAGACTCCGACTCACTGGACATCAGGACCTTCTCATAACTTCATTTCACACTGTCTATGCGCATTTTTCTTCATCTGGGCAGCAGGGGGCAGGCGATTGCGGAGTGGAGGCGGGCGGTAGAGTGGTACGGCTGAGTCGTACTCAGCAGTAGACAGCTCCAGGCATCGCAGTGAAGGGGACCCGACGTGAGGAGCCAGAGGAGCGGTGACGGCATGGATGCCTGGAGGTGAAGAGGAGGGGGGAGACGGAGGACCATCCTCGTGCAGCTTTGGACGAGGAAAATCATCATTAAGGTCGCGCATTGTGGTTGAGACATGCTTTAGCTTGTCATTCACTTCCAAGAGCGTGAATCCACCATAGAACGCCTTGGCAAACAGAGATCCTACACCACCTCCAGCAAATTCCTCTCCATAGGAATTGAGGAAGGGATGATACTGCTCATGCTGCATCAGAGGTCCGGCGTTCCCGTTTCCCATCAGAACTACTGCGTGAGCGACTGCTTCATCAATCCATTCCGTCTCTCCATTCTCTGAAATTTTGGCGTATGGAAACCATGCGTAGATTTCATCTGTTTTAAGATGGTCGAAACCCTCCCCGGCAAGAACCCCAGCCACAACAGCTCTACCGTTTTCCACGTAGTTCCAAATCTCCTGCTCTGTCAGGTCCTCGAAATACTTGTAACCATCAATTCCTAGGTTGATGACAGTATTATCCTTGGACACAAGATGCGAGTTCTCCACAATTTCCTGTATCTCATCATCGGTAATTGTCGAGAATCTCCTATACATGTTGGAGGGTGACATTAGTGGATAATGCACCACTGCCTTGTCACCATGAGCCAACACGCCTAGGTTCTTGAAACACCAAGGAATCGCATCATCCCAGTCATAGATAGACTCATCTTGCTTGATATACTTTTCCTCCATCATTTTCCTCTCCTCTTCTCCTTGGTCTGGTTCTGGTATGAATCCATGCAACTCAAAAAATCGTGTCAAAAGTGATTCCCACTGAAACCTCAACCTGCACCTTGATCGGGTCCACTTGGCGAACTTTGCGTTCAACTCCATTTGCCCAGCTGATGCGATAGCACAGAAGTGGCAGACGCCTCGCTTTCCCTGGGTCAGCACACCAGGAAATATATCACAACCACAATATGGCTTCTCCTGCCATGACCACCCAACAGGCTTCTTTGTCTTGGAGACCTCGATACAGCTAGCCATCCTGTTAGGAAAAAAAACCGTTAGAAGATGATGTTCTTTGACCTGGACATATATTCATTGGTAAATGTAAGAACAATCTTACAATGCCTCCAAGCGTCGTCGCCTGACTTCCTCGAAACTCATAGCTGAGGAGGACGCAGCAAAGGAGTGACCGTTCAGTTCAGTGCGACTGGTAACCAGAAGAGATCAAGGCACCGCAAAGCTGTAGCAGATGAGTGGTTAAAGGAGCACCAACGACGGTTCAGCTTCTAATGCCACAGAAGTGCCGAGAAGTCAAACTGCAGACTGACAGAAGGTGACATTAAAATTAGATCATTACGACACACTGATAAGCAAAAGCAATTTGATTCCATAATAATCACACGGAACACCAATTATCAAGATAATTAAATCTGTACTGATGGGCTGAAAATCAAAGAGCGGTGTCTCGTTTTTGCATTTATGTACTCAGCTGCACTGATTACGCAACCAC